CTGTCAAATAAATAAATAAAATCTTAAAAAAAAAAAAAAGGAAATTAGTTTTCTAAACGCCTTTTAAAAAAATCAACACATTCATTGATTTACTTCTCTAACAAGCCTTCAGTCAGAAAAATAAGGGAAAATGAATCCAGAATTTCCCAAATTTGAAGTGTAATGCACATAGCTTGAACGAAGAAAGAGTTAACAGAAATAACTTTAATTCTTTAATTCAGGTCCTAAGACTCAACTCTCTTCATGTCTCACACCAGAGACTCTGTTGCACCTTAGCAGAAGACTCCAAACAGTGGTATTTACATATTTTGAGCTAAAAGATCACCAATTTTATACACTTCAAGTAAGCATGGACTTTGAAAAGTTCATGATTCATATAACCTATCAGCGAATAATTTGACTTTTGCCTCTTCAAAATGCTGCTTAACAGTCAAGCTAATTTTATATGTTGAAATGCATAATGGGCAAGTGCATGTCATAATTTGAAAATAGTTTTATGACTTGGGGTGCCTGGGTGGCTCAGTCGGTTAAGCATCTGCCTTCGGTTCAGGTCATGATCCCAGGGTCCTGGGATCGAGTCCCGCATTGGGCTCCCTGCTTAGCAGGGAGTCTGCTTCTCCCTGTCCCTCTGCCTCTCCACTCCGCTCATGCTCTGTCTCTCTCTCTCTCTTTCAGATAGATAAATAAAATCTCCTAAAAAAATAAGAAAATAAAATAGTTTTATGACTTAACTGATAATTTTCTTGTGTGTGAACTTTTTAGTCTGAAATTTTCTTTCTCTGAAAATTTTAGTCTGACTGAAAACTCAACACTAGTATTTATTCTAACTTTTCCAGACCACCAATTTTGGCGTTACTATGAAATATGTTATAAGACTTTGGTTCCGGCTTTATATTTAGCTTCTTTTATTTAGTTGGCTTAAATGACTACATTAGTTGTTAACAATGAAACTTAATTCGTATCGGGTGAGCTAGGGACTACATCTGGGACCTGTTACGACCTGATGTTGCATGGGTTTATTTCAACAAGGAGAGGAAAAACATTTTAACCCCAGCTCTTGATTCAGAAATGATTCTGAATTCAGTTATTCTGCAACATTTGGACCTTGTCCATGTATCAGTTATTACACATCTTCCTCCCACATCTTGCCTTCCCAGTTGGAAATAAGCAAAATGTGTTTTTATCAGTCTCTAAGTATTTAAATTTGCATATGGCACTCCAAAGCATTTTGCTTTGCATTTGCAAACTTCGGCTTCATTAAATTTTTTTTTTTTTCAAATCATGCGTCTTCTTGTGAAGAATTACACGGAGCACATTTTGTTGTTAATAGTCATTTAAATTATTTACTGGCTTTTTTTTTTTTTTTTCAGTTCCCTGGAAAACACAGAGGGTGTTCTCACAATTTGTCTGGCTTGTCTTTGGAAAATCATGTTGGAATGTGAATCCAAAGCATCAAAATTTGTGAAAGCAGAGTGTTATCCCAAAAGTGTCAAGCAGCCAAATGGTACCAGTTTCAACAGTGATGCCAGAGTGTTTTTCAGAAAGACAGTTTTTGTTTAAATTCCTGCTTTTCGTCCAGCATCTATAGTTGGTCTATTTGTCCCAGACAAAGACAAAGGGCCAGCAGCACCTGAAACTTTTATCCTTCACTTCCTTTTGAAAGTCACTTGACATTCTGCTGCAATATTTTAATTTTATTGTATTATTTATTTATTTTATTACGTCTCTTATTGATCAGACATCATTGAAGGAAGATTTGTATTTTGTAAAATATTACATATATTTTAGACAAATAATATAATACCTTTTAAATTTATGTATAAACACACATCTAAAAGATAGAAGACTGCTTTAGGTTGATTATTATTTGTCATTTGTTCACTCATTCATATATATATTTATCAAGCATATACAAGGTAGTTGCTAGATTTTATGAAGGAGTATAAAGAGGAATCAGACCTAAATCTAATCTCATTCCCCTCTATAAAAATTATTGAAAAACATAAAGATATAATATTAAGTAGATAGCTAAATAAGAAAGGGAGGGAGGAAGAAGGGAGGATGTGTGGAGGGAAAGAGAGAGAGAGCAAGAGAGAGAATAGGAGTGATAAAAACAAATGTGGCAAAACCCTAACAATTGCTGAATTCTGGATAATGAATTTAAAGGAGTTCTTTGCACTATTCTTATAACTTTTCTGTATGTTAGATATTATATAAAACAGAAATTTATTGAGTGTTCTGGGAAAAAAAAGTAGATGAAACATGTAAGGGACTGAGGTTTGGGATGTCTAGAGGCCTCCTCAATGACAGGAATTGCACCTCAAATCTCATTTATCTCCCTACTATTTCTACAATACTCTTTCAACTTGGGAGACACTTAATTAATATATAAAAAGAGGTGCTTATTTTTTTCTTTGGAATCTCAATTTTCAGGCCAAATTTCTTCAGGTTAAGCCATAAAACTATTGCAAACTGCACATACAATACATAAGAGAACACATGCAAGAGACAACTTTGTACATGGTTGTGCAGGAGCCTCAGCGACCGGAAAGCAGTGGATTTGGACGAATCTCTTGGTCTCTCTTGCTGTCTACTATTAATTTAAAACTACCCCCACTCTTAAACTATAGCCAGGTGAAGCTGGAGTTTTAGCTTTCTCATCTTTATACATCCAGCAGAGACCTTTGCGTGTAGTAAGTCCTCAATTCTTGTTTGTTGGCATATGAATGAAGAAATACAAGCGGAAACATTTTTGTGCCAAACATCTTCAGATTGATTTCTCTTATTTTGTTTCTCACACCAAGGCTCCGCTGATCTTCATGAGGCCCAGTCATCCCACAGTGTAAAATTTGGCATAGTTGATTCTTTACGACAGCCTTTCTAACTAGAACTGCGATGTGCAAACTGTATTTAGGAAAAGGTGTGCAAGGATTTGTCAAAAGGAAAGTAGATTGCAAAGCTGGAGAATACTAATGGTCAGCTTATATATGTAGCCTGTGGTTAAATAATATCTTTCCTCGTGTCTCTTTAAAATCAAGAGCCCTATATCATGTATATGTTTTTCAAATGACATTTGAGTAAAAACGTAAAAGGCCTCTAAAGAGATGAAGGGCATTTCTGGACTTGGAGGGAGCCCTCAGGTTTGATAATAACATTTTGAGTAATCTAAATTCATACCTATTATCACTTAAGTCAACACTGATGCTGCCACTGGATCTTATACAAATATTCAGATTTTTGTTTCCCTCGTCATTCTGAAGGTTATCTCCCTGGTTGCTCTGAAAAATCAGGTGACAACTGTTTCCCACGATGCTTTAGGGGCTGTCAAACTGTCCATCAAGCTGTCACCTGACCGGTCATTCCCATGCTTCTTTTAGACTCCCAGTATGATAAGTTGAAAGGCACTATTATCTGTCTGTTGTGAGGAGGAACTGTGGGGGCTTTGATAAGATATCACTACTCCCAGGTGAGAGGCGGCTGACAGCCCATCAAGGCAAAACAACACGCAGAAACACTGAACAGGGGAGCACGGGTTTACAAACATCTGTTGTCATTATTTATTACTTTTCTTTGGGCTTAAGTTTCTGACTCATCGTCAGATAATTCAAGAACAGATATTTTGCTTTCTAGCCTGCAAATAACAATTGCTGCTCTTTTCATCTTGGGAGAGAAATCTTAAAATTGAAAACACATCTGCCTACCTTTTGGATTCATGGCACACAAGTGCTCTACCTTGTAACCAACAAGTTCTGTGTTCCTGCTGATGTCATCATTTACCTTTTTTAAAAAAGTATTTGAGAATAACTATTTTTAACTATAATAAATAGTTGGATTTGGGAGGCTAAATAATAAAATTAATTACCTAGGTCTTGGAGGTCATTATTAATGTACCAATACACAAACAATATGAACTAGTTTAAGTGCCAGCACATATTAGTTAATCTGTGTTTTAGTATTGATGATAAGGTGAGTAAGTCCAACATTTCATGAGAAATAAGGTTTGTGATTTATTATTACCAGCTTCACCTTTTAACTTTTCTGAATGATGCTAACATAAATCTAAAAGCTTGAATTTATACACAAGAGCCATGAATAGAGGAAAGGACATTGCCCTCAATGGATCAATCCCATCGCCAGGATTGGGATCAGGAAAACTGTAAAGGCAGGGGGAGGTTGTGAGGTAAAGGCTTTCTGAAGAAATCTTTCTGGGAAGTGGGAATAGTTTATTAGAGCTTCAGAAACAATTTTACATTTGGGATTTAATCTTTGGGCTTAAATATCCAAAAAGTTGCCAACAGAAACTGGATACTCGAATCCTTACTACATGTAAATGTAATTTTATTCTTTAGAAGTTACTCTCTTTTTTGTGATTTTTCCTTTTTTTCTTTCCCTGTTACTTAAATGACATATGATGACAGGTTTTCTATGTGCTCTGTGCCCTCACATGCTATCATTACATGAATACCGAACAGACCCTTTGGAGATCACTCAAGGAAGATAATCTGTTGTTATTTATTGTGGAATAAAAGTACTGTAGTTGGTTGCTAACATCACCACCTTGTGTACAAATATTTTTTTGCATGCAGTTTCCTAATGTCATTAAGCAGTATTGTAATGTCATTACATAGTAATGTAGCACTTCGATTAGAGACAGCATTTAAATAATTTTGTAATTCAAAATCTGAAAAAATAAACTGGTTTATTTTTAGTCCTTTGTAATTATTTAACCACCTAACATTCTTCTTCACTCATATAAGAAGCAAACAGGCCCCAAAGTCTTCAAGAACTGAGAATTTGTCAAACTATTCTCTAAAACAATGGCCAAGGAATTCAGAGTAAAAAGGAAAAGAAAGAATTAAATTTCCTGAATATTCATAATAATACCAACAGTACATGCATCCAATGCCTTCAATATCTATCGGTGAAACTAATTTCAACAATTTTTCCCCCTAAGCATTTTTAACTCACCCAATAGGCCAATATTGGAAATTATTACTTACTTGAAAGTATCATTTTGGTCTCTATCCAAAGATGAGGGGAACCTCTTGATGAGGTTCTGAATATCAAAATTCTTTTTCTAGTGGCTTCTGGCATGTCAGGATCCCATAGCAAATTTTTAAATTTTCAACAGTCCTTGCAGATCAATGAAGTTAAGTTGACTTTTCCAAAAGGACATACCTTGTGGTCTAACGAAGGAGGTAGTGGCTAGAGAGGAAAAGACCAGAATATTCAATAAATTCAGTGCAGGTCTCAAAGGAGACAAACAAACATGCTCCCTGTTAGTCTCTCTCTCACAAGACTTCCAACAGATTTCTAGAAAAAAACTATTTCACATTTGGATTTTAGTGTTACTTCCTTCATAGTTTCTCAATCTCTCTTTCTCTATCTCTAAGTGACTTTTTATTATAATTTCTTACTTCACGTAGTAGCTAAATAAGAGTTGTTGTAAGTTGCTGAAAGTAACATCTAGTGCTTCTTTCACTTCTAGAGTTTTCCTATATAGTTTGATTATACAGCAAAACTTTAAAATGCTGGGGCACCTGGGTGACTCAGTCCCTTAAGCTGCTGCCTTCCACTCAGGTCATGATCTCAGGGTCCTGGGATCGAGACCCACGTGGGGCTCCCTGCTCAGTGGGGAGTCTGCTTCTCCCTCTGCCTCTCCAGCCCCCCTGATTCATGCTCCCACACATGTGCACGTGCACTCTCTTTGTCAAATAAATAAATAAAATCTTTAAAAAAAACTTTAAAACTGAACATAATATAAAAAAATAGCTCAAAAGCAAAAAAACCCCCAAATAACCAAACAAAAAATGTTCCTAAAGATCCAAGGCAAAATATAACAATCTGAATTTGGTGTGCATGTGTGTCTTCCTGTCTGCCTGTGAGAAACTTGGCTATTTTCAAATGGAAGTTCACTTGACAAGCATAAGAAATCCTGCCATATTAACTAACGACTAGTTTAGTTTTCTTCTAATTTTGACTTTAATAGGCTCTTCTAACAAGAGACTAAGAAAATCTTGAAAAGGTAGATAGCTTTGACCAGATGAATTTGGGGGTATTTTTATAATGATAATTTTTCTGATTAATTTAGCAGCAAAATCACAAAGTAAGGCTAGATTTTAATTCCTCTTATTATAAAAACTTCTTGTCAAAACTTTTAGCTTTGTTTCTGACTAATGATACATGAGAGGGCTATTAAAAGGAGGTGGATTTGCTCAAGATTATTTCTCGTGATTTTTTTCTAGACTACAATCGTATTAACACTGTATTCATTGACAATCTCATGGTTTCCAAAATCCAAAAATGACTTCTTTTGTGTCAACAACTACACTATGAGGTAGGTAGGGAAGGTACCCAAGTTCATAGATGACCAAACTGAGGGTCAGAGGCATGACAGGGAAATGCTCACAATCATATAGATGTTAGTAGCAGAGCCAGCAAAGAACTCAGGTTTTCTGATTCTTAGTTCAATGTTATATCCTCTACCCTCACACTGCTCTTGTCTTGTCCCCAAAGATACTTTAAAAATGTAGATATTGGAAGTTAAGTCCATTTTGGTAGGTGTTTCCCCATGTCTGGTGGAAGTTTCACAATGTAGAATTCTAATGCTGGAAAGTCACGTGGTGCTATGCTGTCAAACAGGAAGTAGGGTTCCTGCTTACTTACTCCTAATGTTTTTAGAATCAAACACAGTCATTATGGTAGGCTGTTTCATTTAGCTCTGACAATAAGCAAATGTGTGCACATTTATATGCATGGTCAATATGCAGAACTTGTGAGATATCTAATGATTTTAAAAAACACAAAATAAATTTTTAAGAAATGTTCCTAAAAGGAATAAAAATCTATAGACACTTTCTGATTTTACCGAATATTAAACAAATGTTTCAAGCATTGATGCTTCAAAGAGGCCCAACCACTAATGATCTTTAAAGGGAGAAAATGAACTTGCAAAAGCTTCAGATGTTTGGATGTTTTCCTTTTATGTTGTATCTACTTAGGTCAAGCAGTGTGAATTGAATGAAACTGAACTGAACAAAACTCTAATGTAAAACTGAGATTCATTAAACTGTTCACCTTTTTTGACTGGTGACTTGTATATGTAAAAAGCTGCAACAGAAATGAAAGACATGGTTTCCATATTTTAATAAAGGTGATTTTTTGAGACTACAAAAATAGAGTAAAATAGCATGTATATTTCTTACATCTCATTTTAATTTTTTAACTTATGCAGAAGAATAAACCAATACTACTTGTGGAAATCAATTAACAATTTCTTATTTTCCCCAAAAGATTCAGATAATGAAACAGATATCTGAAGGACAAAATGCAGCTAAGTGGTCTCTTTGGCAAGCATTCGAACTCACTTCTATGCTTGAGACATTAAGAAAATGTCACTTGAATAAAGATGAAATCGACCAAACCCATCACTACCTAGGGAAGGAAGAAATAAACAGTGGAATTGATCTAAGCTAACTTTGTATCCCAAATTCAAAATCATAACAATAAAGTTCTTTACATGCAACTCTGTGAACTGAAAAAAGGGGCTGTCTAATTTCTTCCCATGCATCAAGCTAAAGAAATGAAGGGAGAAAATCATTCTTCTCTGTTGGCCTCCTGTGTGAAATTTCTTTTCTTATCATCCCATCTCGTCATATCTTTCTGCAGTTTGAATTACCCTCTTTTCCTCAGACTGGTAAGGCAGTGAAAGGATGTTTGTTCTGCTAATTAACTTTATTACCCTGATAACTCCCTGCAGCCTTTTACGAAAACAATTACCGTTACTCCTTTTTTCCCCCTACTGGCAAAAAAAAAAAAAGGAAAAAAAAGGAAAAAGAAAAAAAAAGACTATTAATTAGAAGCGAGGCCCAGGTCTCTGCCATGTTATCCTGCCACGTTCCCAGGCCCTCGAGCAGGATAGCATTACATTGTCAGTAGTAATTTAGCTCTCATCTGTCTCTGCTAATTATTGTCACATTCATCAAATTCATCAACAAAAGTGCTCTCAGAAGGATTGCATATTTGCAGTTAATACAGCATAAACTGGTATTACCCATCACCACATTTGTGATGATGAGAGGGACACAACTTATTCATCCCTAATTAGAGCAAGCTGGGTAATTAATTATGCATTCCGCCTTATTACTTCTGAGTTCCCAGATATTGTTTGTCTAAAAAGGGGGAGAAAGCAGGAGAGAGAAGCCTGAAAATGCAAAAAAAAAAAAAAAAAAAAAAGGGTGATGTGTTTTGTCACATGCGCTATGCCATAATTCCCACCTGACAAACTAGCTGAATCAGTGGAAAATTGCGAGTTGTCAGCAGCAGAATAAACTGCCGTAATAGCTGATTAATGATCAGCACCTGTGACAGGTGCTGTACGGGACTGTAAACTTGGTTTGATTAACAGTCACTGGACGAATAAATATTAGTGACAGTCAGCGGAGAGCAAGTTTGCTTGTTTTCTTCCCTGTTAACAAATCGTACACATTAAAGTTAGTGATATTTCTGTCTGAGACACTCTATTTTTTTGTAGTTATCTGGCAACATTGGCAGTGAGTTATAATAGATTGTTTCTGTGCTGCTATTTTATTTCAGAACCAAAATTGTATTTTGACAAAATGACCTGTAGGGGTTTAAATCTACCAGGTGTGGAAGAAAAGACTAAAAAATGACAGGATTCACACTTGCTTTAATTTATGCTCATCTGCTAGTAATCTCTGTGTATGTATACACATATACACATCTATTCATTGTACCCATTTACATGTATGTAAATCACTATTAAAGAATGTTCATAACTAAAAAACACAGGCATACACTTAGGCTGTGTGGTGTTAACTTATGTAAAAAAATTTTTTAATTGATTTTTTTTTTCAGAGCGGAATATTTCCCCTAAAAACATTGGTAGTGTGAATTCTGCCAACTGTGTGTCTCAATTCCAAACTGAAGAGATCATCTTCCGAGGCAGATTCAAAACTTGCCAGCTTGATTGCTTTTTCCTGAATTGACCAGTTACAAACAGATTGGTCAGAAGGTGCTACCTCTTTGAGCTGATTGGTTTTTAACCAAGAGTCAAATTATGTGCATAGACAAGCAAAGTGTGAAAGATGGGAAGAATCCATTCCCTCTCTCTTTCTCCTTTTCTCTTTCTGTCCTTTAGGTCATAAGAAGGGAAACCAGTTGACTTCACTGTAGTTTTGGCTTGTGTAGAGAATGGTTAGGATCCTTTTGGAATCCTAAAGATCTACTTTCAAACTTTGGCCCCGCTGACTAATTGTGTGAGTTTGATTAAGTTACTTAATCTAATTGTTCAGTTTCCCAACATAAAATGGGAGCATTTTCAACCTAGGGTACAGTGTTACTGTGGGGATTAAATGAGATAACTTGTGTGTAGTAAGTGCTTGCGTGTACCTAAGCACCCTAGTACAGTGCCTAGCATAGATAGTGCTCAGTAATTAACAAGTGAATTATTATTAACACAACCGCTTGAAATTTGAATAGTCAAGTTACCTTCAGTTTCTGTTTCGCATTATAAAATGTTTTAGGAACGACTAATTACCTTTTTTCCTTTGCACACTCTAAAATGAACAAAACAAAACTTAATGCTCACTTATCCCTGACTGAAAACTAAGATGAGTGATGTCCCTCAGTAGTAGATACCCCAAGGTGCTACTCTGAGTTATTTAGCTGTTTTTCAGCAGCACAAAAGTGGGACTTGATGGGGTAGGGCAGAGGCTAGAAGGCAGCCTGTTTCCCCCCTGATTCAGAAACTTCTTGGGTGATGGTAGAGACAGATCTGTGTAATGTTTATTTAGCACACTCTCATATTTTGGTAGAATTGAAATAGTAAAACACCAAGCACCGAAAACAAAAATAAAAATAACATCAAAGCAAGTACATTTTGATAATTTAGTATATATTTACTTTGATATTAATCATCTAACGGAGAATGAAAATGACGAAAGAACACAGAAAGAACACAGTATGGTACAATTATAGTTTTTGAAACAGTGTTGAGAAGTAATAAAACTGCCGTATTTCAGGGAGCCTGGGTGGCACAGTCGGTTAAGCGTCTGCCTTCGGCTCAGGTCATGATCCCAGAATCCTGGGATCAAGCCCCACATCAGGCTTCCTGCTCCATGGGAAGCCTGCTTCTCCCTCTCCCACTCCCGCTGCTTGTGTTCCTGCTCTCGCTATCTCTGTCT